TCCTCCCTCCTCTCCGGTGAGCTCCTCCTCCCTCCTCTCCTCCCATTTCCTCATGGTTTCTCCTTCCTCCTCTCCGATGCTTCGGTGAACTCCTCTCCGGCGACCTCCTCCTCCTCTCCGGCGGTGTAGGCGAGCGCCTCTCCGGTGACCTCCTCCTCCTCCTCTCCGGCGAACTCCTCTCCGGCAAAAGAACACGGCAAAAGAACATACAAGATCCAAAAACAGGAACAAAATTTGAAATAATATCGTGCCAAAAAACGAGCAAAAAAAAACTAGCAAAAAATGGGCAAAAAAATCACGATCCAGATCCAAATTCAAAATTCAAAAATAGCAATGGCGCACGGTGGGGGTTAGACGGTGCGCCACTACTATTTTCCCACCTTTAAAATTCAAAAATACTAATGGCGCACCGTGGCCTATACTAATGGCACACCAGTGGTGCGCCATTAGTATAACAGATACTAATGGCGCACCAGTGGTGCGCCATTAGTAAAAATTACTAGTGGCGTGCTAGTAATGGCACACCAGTGATGCGCCATTAGTAGGCAAAACTGGTGCGCCATTAGTAGGCCTTTTTCTAGTAGTGAATGCTGGCGGTTTGCGGGTCCACTTTGGAGATGTCCTAAGGCGGCAAAGTTTCACTTAAACACATGTCACATCGTGTATACAAATCAAACTTTCAGAATCTAATAACATTGTAAGTCAATCTCCCAATGAAATCCAGTTACCCCAAAGATCATAACAACTTGAAATTCACAAAATCGTTGTATTCTTGCTACCTTCCCTATGCGGGTTATATAGCAATGTAAACACATACTCCCTCCGTTTTTAAATATAAGTCTTTTTATACATATCAAATGGACTACAAGGTACGGATGTATATAGACATATTTTAGAGTGTAGATTCACTCATTTTGCTCTGTATGTAGTCACTTGTTGGAATCTCTAGAGAGACTTATATTTGGGAACGGAGGGAGTATATAGTAGTATAGTACACATGTTTAGTCTCTTATGTTCGAATTCTGGCCGGTGCAATTTCCATTGCTTTAACTTAAATGTGCTATCTTGAATTCTTGATAGATGTTTTTCAGTTTGAAAATCCGCAAAGTATATGCTAAATAGTGATTTTCTGTATTGTTTGCAAGATTCTGGAAATGGGGATTGTATCGCATTCGGTGATCATCGGGCTCTCTTTGGGCGTTTCGCAGAGCCCATGTACCATCGAACCTCTTGTTGCTGCTCTCTCCTTTCACCAGTTCTTCGAGGGTTTTGCCTTGGGTGGCTGCATTTCTGAGGTAATTGTCCGCTTCATTTCCGCTTTATGGTTAGCAGTTCCTCACTTGAAGGTGGCACTCATGAGCCCTTCATGCCAATTGCATCAACTCATTACATTTTGCATGGACAAATGCAGGCTCAGTTCAAGAATTTCTCTGCACTCCTGATGGCTTTCTTCTTTGCTATCACAACACCTGTTGGGATTGCCTTGGGGGCGGGGGTCGCGTCGTTCTACAGCGCCAGCAGCCCCAGGGCATTCGTGGTGGAGGGCATCCTTGATTCAATGTCGTCCGGAATACTGATCTATATAGCATTAGTGGATCTCATTGCTGCTGATTTCCTTAGCCGGAGGATGAGCTGCAATCCGAGGCTACAAGTGTGCTCATATGTTGCCTCGCTTGTTGGGGCTGTTGCCATGTCAGCACTTGCTATCTGGGCTTAGTGAGTATTCTTGAAGAAAGGTGCCTTGGGACAAGTTGCTTGGCGTTCAATGCGCTCGGAGTTTTCCCTAGCTGCCAGTAATTGAGGCCTTTTATTTCTCTATCCATTCTTCTCATGGTGGTGGGCCGTGTAAGTTCTCATTGTGGTGGCAGAGAATTGAGGCTAGTTTATTATAAGGAGTTTTTTAGTCTCCCTAGTCTTTGCAGATGTACATTTCATCCTTAATTGAGAAACAGTATAACGAGGCTAGCTACGAGCCTCCACAGGATATCACCGTTTCAGCCGTCCGATCAAACATACGATCTCAGATCAAATGGCGTCATTCCTCGCTCGCACGCGTCGCGCGCCGTCTCGCGGGCCGCTGCTCCACGGAACGAGCTGGTTTTCCTCTCCGCACTCGGGCCTTCGAAGGCCCACGTCGTTCCACTAACACCTAGGGGTCGTAGGCGTTCTAGGGTTATCCTCCCCGTCCGAACCGTTTTTGTGTTCCTTCCGCGCCGCCGTTTTTTGCTTCTCGATTCACCGGCGTTCCTTCTTCCTCAACACGCCATGTTCCGCCGTCGGCGAGCTTCTGTTGCACAACTGCCTCCGCGCCGGTGCCGTCCACCTGCCCTGAAATTTTCGTCCGCAACCCCTTCTTTACGGTTTTTTAGTTTTGCGTCCTGCAGGGTTGGTCAGTCTATTCCTCTTCCGTTTCTTCCCCTGCGGCGGCGGACTCGGCGGCGCCATAGTACAGGATGAATCGGTCGTCTGCGTCCTGTAACTCGCTGGTAGTGATGATGTGTTTGTTTGTTGTTTTTTCATCTTTCCTTCGTCCTCCTATCTTGCATCCATGAACCTTTTAGTGTCCATGGGTATTGATCCCTTTGCCCACTATATCTGCTCCTCTTTTGTCATGCTCTGTGCGCGTATTACAAGGTAGATTATTTACTGTTACTTGTTTCAGGAGTCGCCTTCAAAATTTCTCTCTTGGGGCTGGAGCTGGACACAGGGTGTGGGAGCATCATTTGCGAGAATGCCTTCTAGATAGGTACCCTTCTTCTTCCTTCCACTTTATAATTCTTCCACCTTTTTAAGTACATAGTATGTTATCTCTTCAGTTTTTATCCCTGCCGGGATTCCCTTATACTTCTTGCAACTTGTGCTCTGCTTTTAGTGTTTGAAATTCATGTGTGCCACAGGTTATACTTCATTAGCATAAAATGTGTAAACATTCTTGAGTGCATCGTTAGGGAGCTAATGATTGTCTGTGACCGATAAAATGTTTTTTTCTAGCAGGTTTAAATACAGGCTGATCTATCTGCAACGCTGCCGCAGCAGAGTAACACTAAATTTTGTTTGGGGTGTATGTCATCGTATACTGTAAGTTATTTTGTGTGATTCTTTTGTGCTTGGATTAGCAGGTAATATCATGAGGTTTCTGGATCTCAGCGGCAGAATAATATTTCTAGAAAATATGAATTACATATCGCTTGTTACCTTGCCCAATTTTTCTGCATGACTGGATTAAGAGAACAATTTTACCACCAGCTATCAACCCAGCACAAGGTTTCTAGAACTCACGAACAATAGTCCAAATGTTCCATGGCAACAAAAAGCAAGCAACTACCAAGTCAAAGCTTCCTGTAACCGGAAAAAAAAGCCCCCTGTCGCTCCCAAGGCGAATGATGCCACATCTAATAGTGTCGTGCCTAATGCTGCCAATAGTCTACCAGGGTGTACTCGAAGCCACTGAAGCTCATGGATTAGCATTGTCCCGCTCTAGATGATGTTCTGATTTGTACTCCCTCCGTTCCAAATTACTCGTCGTGGTTTTAGCTAAAACCACGACGAGTAATTTGGAACGGAGGGAGTAGTAAACTAGATTGTGTCTTTCTTTTTGAGAGGGAATTAGATTGTGCTTTTGTTGGAACAAACACAACATTATTCAGGATGTTCTTTTGGTTTCAATGTACTGTGTTATTGTGAATGTATACTAATATGTTATAGAGTTTGGAACAAGATCAGTTAGTACTATATAATAATTAGCTATAATATTTTGGTTGTTGATTCCAAGTTAATGTGGTTGATCCCTCTGCATTTAGATAACTGTCAGATTTTACTTAGTTATTGCTCTCATTGCTTACTGAAAGTATATATGAGCCATACACGTTTTTTTCATTGCACATAAGATTACATGTTGTATGGCCAAGAGCAACAAAAACACACCGATGCATCTGGCTTTTATTTGCTACCATCTTCACCAATCTTCTACCTACATCTCGCACTTTCGAATTATTCTCTTGAAGCATTTGCTTCAGCGCATCTCATTTTCGCATTTTGTCGGCATCTTCTACAACCACATCAGCTTGGCTCCCTAAAGATGGCCTCAGCTTGGCATTCTCCCCCTTCAAGTGCCATCACTCTAGCAGAAGTCTTAAGAGTAATTAATTAAAGAGAGATGATTCTTGATCATGTTACCTCCAAAAAGAACAACCACTGGCCTGAATACATGCTCTCAGGGCATGGGGGAACATAATCCAAGATTTTGAGGCTTTCAAGCCCAAAGATTCCACAAACTGACAGAATCCTAATAAAAAAACTAAAATGGAAATGCCTGGTATGCCATGTAGCAGATATACCTCCTGCTAGAGTCGTCCTCCGGCATAACACCGATGGTGCCCACACCAAAACCAGTCTCTGTAAGCCACCAAAGACCACACTAAACTGTTGGTTCCATAACTAAAAGTAAAAAAAAAATAACACATAGGCACGCAGGGTTCCACTTCTAACATTGTAAGTTTGAATCATTCAAATCTTCTAAAAGTTTTGAAATGTCTAAATTTCCTTCAATATTTATGTTGTTATTTTATTAATTGGACCGGGTGCGGCAACGCGGCGCCTTCATGTTCTAGTTTTAGATAAGAGGACATGTCCGTCCCCAAGTATAATCTTGCATATACATTAATGAGGATCTCCCGAAAGCTGCTTCAATTGCTTGAATCCAATGGCAGGTTCTGTTTGAAATGAGGATGGTTATGAACTCACACGCCAGTCTTTTGCCCGCACCTTGTAGCGCTCTTTTGGTTGTATATGTGGAATGACGTTTCTGCTCCGGTGCTTCCCCCTGGGCTGAACGCGGGGTGGAAAAACACATCGACGGCCAGGATGAACCAAAAACGGTTCATAACGAGGGGCACGATCGTCTTTGTTGCCCCTGCGTATAGCCGTCGAGAAGCCCTGGGAGGCCCGTACGGGCCCGCTTAGATCGTATGCCCGGCCGTATACGTATGCCCGTACATACGGCGACCTTTCGTGCACGCGTGAAGCCGCCCGCGCGTGGGGCAGCACGTGTCACGGGTAGTTGCCAAATCTGTCCCATCATATAAATGTGGACGACAACCACCTCCGGCCGCATCGCCCACCATTTCCCCCCGCCGCATCGTCTCCCTCTCTCCACTCCCCACTCCCCACTCCCTCTCCTCTCCAACCTCCTCGTCCCCCTCATCGCATCCTCTCCATCGCCATGGCGAACGCAGGAGGCGAGCGCCCCAAGCCGGCGTCCAGCGCGGTGCTCCCCCCGCTGCAGATCTGGAGAAGGCGGGGGCAGGCTGCAGCGGTGCAGTCCAGCCAGATGCGCCCGCTCTGGCAATCTCCGGCGAGGCGCAGAAGGTGGAGGCGGGCTCTGGCGAGGCACAGAAGGTGGAGGCGGGCTTTGGCGAGGCGCATGAGGTGGAGAAGGTGGAGAAGGTGGAGGCCGGCTCTGGCGAGGAGCAGGCTGAGCAGAAGGTATCTGCTTATCACTTTAATGTGGTAGTTTTTAGATTGTAGGGTTTGTGGCCAGAAGGTTTTTTGGTTAGATTTGTTGGATGTAGGGTATTCTCTGCATTAGGGTTTTTTTGTATTTGATTCGTGCAAGAATGGTGGACCTCATATGATTATTAGATTAGGTTAGAAGTAGCCGGATTAAGGGATGGTTTTTTTTCAAATGCTTATTAGATTAGTAGTGGAATTTTTGCAATTCTTTAGGTGTTTGGCTTGAGGATTAGACGATGGATTGGGTTGGTGCCTGCTTTAGTTCTTTGGCTTGATGATTAATTAAATGGATGCTTAGTTCTAGGTATTATGCCTGTCATAGTTGCAATTCTTAGATGCTTGATTGATGCATGTTGTCGTAGTTGCAGTTCTTTGATGCTTGATTGATGCCTGTCAGGCAGAGGCTATGAGATGGGTTGTGCATGGCCTTGTGTTTTTGGAAATTGTCTACCCGAGGTGATTAGATGGTGCATTAGTTTGGTTGTAAATATAGTGAAGGATGTGCTCATGTAATGGGTGTTGTCATGTTAATCAAAAAGAGCTTCTCAAGGGCTGGATTTGTTTGTGTTGGATTGGGGCTTCTGAAGGAGAGGGGAAGGGGCAGCCTATGTTTATTTAGTTTGGGTTAGTAGTGGAATTTTGCCGCTGCTTCATAGATTTTAATTAGTATGAGGTTGAATACCTTATTTAAGGGGGAATTTAAGGTCAGATAGACGTCATATGATTATTAGATCTGTAGTTCAATGCTGCAGACATATGTGATTATTTGATTTGATTTGTGGTTCAATGATACTGGATGGAAACATATTTGATTTGGAATGCATTAATTTTGATGTGCCAATGAATTGATTTAGATGATACAAGATTCATCTATAGTATAATTTGTTGTTGTTTAGGTAAGTAATGAAATTTTAGATGTTTGTTGGAGACGTATGCATTTATAGTTGAAGTTG